TCAACAATTCTGTGTTTTTCTGTCAATATGGGGTGCTGTGTGTACATTAATGAGGAAAAAAAAATAACTTAAATAATTTTAGCAAATGGCTGCAATATAACAAAGAGTGAAAAATTTAAGGGGGTCTGAATACTTTCCGTACCCACTGTAGATAAGATCCAAAAAGTCGCAAAGACTAAAGTCTCAAACCCAAAGAGATATTCTTTCTTAAAGTTAAGATTCTTCCACGCCTTCCTAAAACGCCTCGTTCAAACACGCCCCCACATATCTACATCACTGTGTTGGAAGATTTGCATAAGGCCGCCCAAATATTTACGCAAAGAAAGAAGGTGTAACTTTTATTCTTGCTGTAGTATTGTTGCCACCGCCGCCATGTCATGGAGACGCTGTGTATTTCCAGATAGTAAGAGGCGTAACATTTCCGTCACACGATTGAGGAATTCGGCCAATCACAACGCACTGGATAGCCGGCCAATCAGAGCACACCACACTTTTCAGACCGATGAGCTTTGTAAAAATCGACGCGTTTCAGAAAGGTGGGGCAGAGAGGAGCAACAATAATGTACAGTATGTGGAAAATAATGTTTTTTTAACCTTAAATCACATAAACGCATTGTATTACACCAAATACACCAAATAATGTTATTTTTAGCAACATCATATGACCCCTTCAATACTTATTAACACAAATTAATGCCTTATTCTGCATGACCATATTTCAGATGCCTTAATCCTACCCAATACCTAAACTTAACAACTACCTAACTAACTATTAATAAGCAGCGAATTAGGAGTTTATTGAGGCAGAGAAACTTTAGAAAAAAATCCACTATGGAATTTAAGCTGTTAAACGGAGCGGTGAGTGCTACACTCTTATTGGTAACAGGATGAATGACTAAATTAGTACAGATATCTAATAAACGAACATGCAAGGTATGAGGGTTCTGTATAATTTTATGAACAACAGGCGCTCCAATTGACCAATCGGTAAGCCCCTCCCCTCGAACGCAGATGAGCCAATGGCAGTCGAGTATCAGTTGCATGGGGACCGGAACTCCGACATCTGTAGGTTTCATGGCCATAGAGAAACATTGGAAGATCCGAAGCTCGCATCGCTTTTATGGGGTTTGTAACAGTGATTCCAGGTATCCTGAGAGGATGGGCAATGGAATTAATTTTATTCTATTTCCTAAACCAAAACAAAACGGAGCAAAATGTCCCAAAGCATTCACCCCTAATCCCAATGAAGACAAAAAAACCTTCATTTTCTGGTTGTCATACATTAATTAAGTTACAATTTTCATCTGATCAAGCAAAACGTTAATGTCATCTTGTGCTTCAGCAAGGTATCTCTGGCTAAAACTAACTAACGTTCAAGTTAATGAGTCCATGCTAATGTACAAACCTAAATTTGTACATTTGTGCTTCTGCAGACAAAGATTGCTGGTGGGCCTCATAACACTGACTTACTGTATTGCTGCATGTTCTGTAGCGGATGTTCCTGCCCTCACAGTTCCTGTGGAACAAACACAAAACAACAAAATCAGATATGTTACAAAGTCATTGTTCTTCTTTGTGTAGCAAGCCCCTCCATCTTTTGTCTCAATATTACAGTACATTATCAAGGGGAAAGGAACATCCTACTATTTATCCCTACAGTAATGATTTTCAGAGCTGCTCTTGATTATTCTCTCTTTAAACCACTCACTCGTTTGTGAGACTCTTTGTCTATTTGTGCGCTTCTTGAGCACAATTCATAAAATGAATGCGTGCTATATTGAAAAATAAATTCCCTCGACAAAAAAAAGAGCATTTTTTCCCATTGTGAAATATTTTTCACTTAGACTGCCAGTCAGGTAATAACAACAATGCAGTCAATCCAGTATAAGTGCATTTTAAAGAAATTTATAATAATAAAAACAGGAAACGATTTGCCATTTGTGATTTTCTCCAAAAAATATGAATCCAGCTACAGCTGTACGAAATATGCAGCAATGTGTTTTGAGAAGAGTTTGTTTAGAGACAGAAATAGAGAGAAAACCAGAAAGAAGAACAACAGGATATTGACTTTCTAAATGTCCTATTACCTCAGCCTAAAAACATTAGCCTATCACATTTCAGCTTATTAATTCCGTTCAGAAAAGCAGCAGTCACCCTGAACAGAAACGGTTCACATCACAAGACTTCTGAAGGGTGGAAGGAAGATGCAACCAGACTGTTATTAAGATCTCAATCTTTCTCTGCAATCGTCCTGCCCTTGAGCGAAATGATTTAGGATGAAATTCTAGCTTTTATTCACTGAATACTGCACAGTGCACTGCATACTGCATACTATTTATTTTTAAAACAGTAAGAGATTATTCCACATTGCTATATTGTTGTCACATAACATCACTACATTTGTTGCATATTTAATTCAGCAAGAGGTATCCAGTTATCATAGTGGAAATAAAAAGTTTGTGTAAAAGAAAAAAAAAATCTTAACATTTGGCAATCAGATCAAATATTAAGTCATGCAAGAGAATGCAGCTCATATAAATTCTGTCAGTCAGTGATCAATCACAGTTTGTAATGTTCCTATGTGCCATTTAAGGGCAGAGTTGTCTGAAATATATTATTCAACATTAGAGCAGAAAAATTGTGAGATCTAAAGCTGCTGAACATGTCATTCAAATTTAGCATCTGATTTAGTATTTTTCTTGTCGCTGAAATTTTACACAACCATTTAAAAATGGTTTTGTAAAATGGTTTTGAGTCTGTAAGAGTTTATATTTTAAATATAAGTCTCTTATGCTCACCAAGGCTGCATTTATTTGATAAAAAATATATTATAAACAGTAATATTGAAAAATATTATTACAGCCTAAAATAAGTGTTTTCTGTTGCAATATTTTTTCAAATAAAATTGATACCTGTGATGGTACAGGTGAATTTTCAGTCTTCAGTGTCACATTATAGTGCAGAGACAGGGTTATTACAGTTAACTACTCAAACTGAAACTAAAATTAAAACCATTAGAAAATTCTTACTTGAAATAAAATAAATATTAACTGAAATAAAATATATGAAAAATGTTGTATTTCAAGCAGTTACCCAGACAACAAATAACTAAAACAAAATTAATAAATCATAATTAATAATAAAAACTATATATGAAAAACACAACAAAATTACTAAATATTTAAAATGAAAATGGTCAATAGAAAAACAGAAAAAAATATTCAAGAAATTAAAAACTATAATAGTATCTTAATGACAATAAAATGTTCAGTATATGCTAATCTGATGCTCAAGAAACATTTCTCATTATCGATGTTGAAAACAGTTGTGCTGCTTCATATTCTGATACTGTGATATTTTTTTCAGAATTTTTTGAAGAACAGAAAGTTGAATTTTTTCTAACTTTTGTTGTAAATTTGTATTAAATTTTGCCAAAAATTTTAACTCAATTTTACTGACCCCAAATTTTTTTAACAGTACTGCAACCTACAGTAATTAACAATTCAACAAGCATGCACTGCATTCTTAAGGCTGCTTCAAGGGGCAGAATAGAGTTATTTAGTTAAACTGTCCTTTTCTATGGTCAGTCTTCTCTTTCAGGTCAACTACAGCCTGCCCTGTCTCCACTCCAAACCATCAATGTCTGTTATTTCTACTCCAGTGCTCTTTAACAGGTGCTCTGGCCTGTGTGCAAGCGATATTGCTCGGATGCTACGATTCAGAAAGAGTGTCTTTGTTCGCAGACCACATAATCAGCTGTGGAATCACTTCCAGATCTTCCTGTAATCAGCAGAACGCAATCACAACACAAGCTGGCCTGCCTCTGCAGCTCTTCTAAAGTTCTACTGACAATAAACAAAAGGAGGAAGAGAGCCGAGGTTATTCCAGTAGCACACAGCAAACCCATGATGGTCTGTTTAATATCGCAAAGACTTTATCTGTGCAAGACATTTTTTCTGTGGATGAAATGGCCTCAAATATCAAAATGGTTATTGATTTGGGAAAAAAAATATTTTTATTTGTATGAATCCCCAAACTATGTGTCAAATTAACTCAAGAACAATATAAATAAGAACAAGAACAATATATGTTTCATAATATTTCTGTTTTTCCTGTATTTTATCAAATAAATCCAGCCAAGGAGAGCATAAGAGTTCAAAAACATCAAAAATCTTGGCCCCAAACTTTTAAAGGGTATTTTACAGGCGGCATTAATCAAAGTGACTTGAAACTGTTCTGCTTTTTGTTTGAATATTCTTGGGGAAAAAAAAGAATCTTCACACAGGAAGCATTTAATTGCAAATCAATAAGAACAATTTTACGTTGAGGGTCAGCAGAAGCATTTCCAATGAGACCTGAAGCAAGCTGTAATTGGCCCTTTCTCTTGTTTTCAGTCGGATCTAACCAGTCAATTAGCTTTAAATGTGTATCGAGGCTTAAATGGCGCATGACTTCCATTTCCTACATGCATTGCTTTAGCTCTTGGCATCTACCCTCCAGCAATGAAGTAATGAAGTAACTGTTTAGAAGCAGATCTCTTAGAAGTGGTGAACGCCTCACTTCTTTCTGGGACTTTTCCAAACTCCCTGAAAACTGCAATTGTTAAACCCCTTCTGAAAAAGAGGAATCTTGTTTAGCTGTGCATTTATTGAATGAGCACTGTGCTATGTCTGAACTGATTGCTCTATAGTTTATGTATAATCATTTTCTATTCTTAACTGTTTTAAATTCATTTTAAACCTCTTAAAAGAAAAAAAAAGGAATTTAAAAACTTTGAAGATTTAAAAATTGATTTATGTAAAGCACATTGAATTACCATTGTGTATGAAATGTGCTATATAAATAAACTTGCCTTGCCTTGCCTAATGGGCAGTGTGAAACAAAAACACAATTGCATCCAACACAATAAAAAAACAGATATCTATCCCAGTATTAATGTGCATAAACAATTCTAAATAAGTCATTCATTGGGTGATTTCCACTGCTGTGCAATCAAAACATTGCTCTGTTTGCTTCAGCTAGGTCTGATACACCTGGAGAGAGCTATCCGTTAGCGTTCCCATTCATTTCAATGGCAGTTAGTCAGTCGAAAGTACATAATTTCTCTCTCAGGTTTGGAGCCAATCATCTGAGTCGTAAATAGCATGTGACTAATTACCCTAGAGCAGTAGGAAAATAACATCATGGCAGCATTGATTGGGACTCAGTACTGTATCAAACCTTTTACTAACAACTGAGCCAGGGCCGGATGGGAGTCATTTTCAGCCCTCGAGTTTCATGCCTTAGACTGGCCCACTTTAGTTCACGACTGACTATAGCTATTACAATAATGCAATTAAAACTTCAGAATATATACAAAACATACAAAATATTTGTAGGCCTACTGTACCATAATGTCTGCCTGCAGTTAAAAAGTTCTTAGAAATAATCACATTTGTTTTGCTTAACCTATTTATGTACAATTATTCTAAAAAGAATTTTAATGTCATACAAAAAAAAATTTAATTGGCCTGAGTAAATCGTACCATTATAGAATTGTGACTGCACAAGCAGTGTAGTAATTTAGGAGGTGAAAATACTGTGAAATTACATACATACAAATGGCAAGAAATTTGAAAGCATAACAACTGAACGTCTATGAAACCTCAGTCAATAATATTTTTTAAACAATTGCACTTACATTTTTTGAACTAAAATAGGCTATTATTGCAAATATTGGAATTCTCCCGGTGCTCCCGATTAGCCAATCCGGGCCTGAACTGAGCTATAATGTCAAGTCCATTTCACATTTCTAAGAGTCCTCCCAAAAAACATGCCAGTAAATCATCTACTATAATGAAATATAAGCTATTTAGATACGGTATGTGTTGCTTGCAAAAAAAAAAATGCATTTCATTACAATATTAATGGAAAATCTCAATGCTTTTTACCTGCAGAATGGTGCAGTTACACCATCTACCAACAGGGGGTAATGGGCCTATACCTTGATTTAAGCAGAATGACCAGAGGACAAAACAAGCAAGGATCTGCTTCTAAAATATCACGAGTGGAATTGTCTCCAACATATTAACCAATGCAACAATTTGAGCATTTTTCGAGTGAGTAAAACAGAGAGTTGAGAACTTGAAAAAAAAAGACACTTTCTAAAACTTGCACCATTGCTTAAGCCGGTGTTTATTGTAAACCCTAATGCTCAAAATAATTAATTGGTTTGAGTAGGGCAATCTTAAATTAAACAAATTATTTAAAAATAAATCAACTTTTTTGAGTATTCTGAACATTCATTTTCTTTCGTGTTCCCAAAACTGACAAATTTTTAAGTACTCTGAATTGTTTCATTGCTTTGAGTTTAGTGAACTTGTTTCTTCTCATTGATCGTCAGAAAAGTTTTATTCCTGGCCCTGATTTTGAGGATTGGTGGCGTGTGTGAATCATGGTTGGAGTCTGCACGTGGAACCAGGAGAATGGGGTCCAGTGGCTTGAAATCATCATCATCACCTGTTTATTGGTACAGCA